ATAAAAAAAAAAAAAAAAAAAAGCCCTACTAGCCTTATATGAGGACCCCAATTTTTAAAATCCAGTTCCAGTCAGATGACTGCAGGCTAACCAAAGCCCTGGGAGCCTGCCTGGAATTGCAGTGTCCAGGACAGGAGTAAAGTCAGGCTTCGGTGCATCCCAATGCTATGAGAATCTGCTGACTGGCTGCCTACTTTCCTCAGCCCTCCAGAGATGGAAATACTGCAAAAGTCCAGTCTCTTTGGCCGAGGTACAATGGATGTGATGACACTTGGACCCTGATGAAAGCAAAGTGCTCTGGTGATTTTTCATGAGGTTTGAATTTGGGCTCGACACCCAAATGAAGCAGGAACCAGAGGCACTGCCTCAATCTCATCCACCCGAGTTCTGGCAACCACCACTTGGATGCTCTTGTGTTTGAGGAGCTTCAGGCAGGGTTTGTGTTGGAAGTTAGGAGCAAAGGCCGATAGAGTCCCCAAGATGAAGGAACTGGGGTCTGTACCATACTATTAAGCCTTGGGACTATTTTCTCAACCTTAGATTTCTTCTATGGTGTCACACCACTGCTAACAAGATTTTCTAGCTCCCTTTCTCCCAAAGGCAAAAGTGCTTAACTAGCCTGCAGTCTTCCTCTTATTATGCCCCCCTCACTTTTAATTCCAAACTGAATTCCTACTCAGTCTTCACATATTGTCCAGACTGGCTGTCATCTACCCAATCTTCCAGTCTCGACTTCCAAGTTGACACCCTCATCTCTACCCAGCTAATCTAGGTGCCCCTCCTCTGTGCTCCCTTAGCACACTGTGCTTCTGCATCCTAGTAGTTATCACTGTATTGCAGTTGCCTGGTTACTTGTCTCTATCCTCAACTAGGCCTTAAACACTGTGGGCAGGGACTATGTTTTTTTCACTGATGTTTCCCCAGGGTCTAACGCAGTGCCTGGCAAATAAAAGCACTCAGTAAATATTTGCTGTTAAGAGTCAATGAACGATGAAGGTCCGCAAGCCCAACTCCCTCTGGATCTTGTGCTCTTAAGATCCACAGCTCTCTTGGTGTTGACCTGTAGGGCAGATAAAGTTTTGGCTCCAGTTGGGGTTGAGGGGGATCGAGTCATCAGACTGTTTCTGAAACCCGTGATTTTAGATTCCTGGGCCCAGCTCTCTTGACTTCATAGGATTTGGGTGTACAGACTTAGTCCACCCAGACCACCCTCCTGTAGTCCCCCACAAATTGACCTCACTGGGCCTGCTTTTATGAAAGGTTTATTCCTAGTGCTAGATCCCACTCTTTTGGGTTCTAAGCACAATTAAACTGGGTGGGTGGGTGAGAGGAGGCCCATTCAGATGCCAGCCAGAAATGGAACTCCCCATCATCCCCACCCCTTTGGTCCCAGTCCCCTTCTCTGCAATGGGCACGCATAGAGGAGGAACAAAGGGTACTGGAGGCAACATCATTGGCCCAAGAGAGCCCAAGAAGAGCTGCCATTGGCTGACAAGGCCTTTTGAGGCTGTCATTGGTCAGGGGGCACACCCCAGGAGCTGGGGATAGGCCTGAGGAGTGATGCCACTGGCCAAGGAGTGGTTCTGTCATAGCCTTTGGCTGTTGAGTGGAAGGAAAAGATCTGGGAGTGAAGCCCAGTGGCCAGAAAAATGAAGGACAGGGCAGCAGCTTCTGGGCCTACAGGTCCTCTTCATACCACAACAGTATGGGCAAAACTCATGTCAGATCCCAGCCAGGGAAAAGGAGCCCAAGCCACAGGGCAAATGGCAAGGGATGTCCCATGTCCAATCTCCTCCACCCTGGGGCTGCCCTTCCCAGTGTCCTTCTTGATAGCTAAGATGGGCTGGAAGTAGCTCACTGCTCCTCTAGCCAGGAGGGCTTCTCAGCTCCTGGAGGCCGCAGCTTGATGTTGAATTGCTGTAGGGTCTGCTCCAGTTGTTTCTGGTTCCCAGCAAAGTAGGCAGATACAGCGTTGTGGAAGAGCAGCAGCTGCTTGTGCATCACCTTGATCTGGGGGTCCAGCAGGGTCAGCTAAGGCTGGACTCAGGTGCCCTTTTAGAGAGCTCTGAGCCTGAGTATAGATCAGGGGTATGTGGACTCTGCTGTGTGTGTGCTTTGGGGGTGAGGGCTGAACACCCCACCCAGGGAAACAAAGGAGAAGGGTCACTCTGATGGAAAAAAAAAACCTGACTTGATTTTTCTGGGCCTATGATCTGGTACCCCAGCTAAGGGTATGATTTTTCCCATTTATGTTTCTGGGAAATCCGCCAAGAGAAAAGGGCCAGGGATTGGAAGGAGAGAGACCTGAAAAATGCTCAAGGGTTCAGTGGGCCAGAGCTGCATGTCCCCCTCTGATAATGAGGAGGGTGTCAGGGGAAAGTTACTGTCAGACGGGAAGGCGGTTTAGAATCAAGGGGTTGGGGTTGGCACCTTGTTTTCTTCCAGGAACTTGAGCTTGATGGCCACATCTCCCCGCAGCTTCTCATACTTGTCCCGATGGGCCTGGAAAGTGGCCTGGGCGCTCTCAAGTCGACCACGTGTCCCTGCATCTCGGGGGCCTAGGCTCAGCTCCTCTAAGTCTGTTCGGTAGGCATCATATTCCAGCCTGGGGAGGGGGTGATAAAGGCAGGTCTCCACCCCTTTTTTTCCAACACAAATTCTCCTTTCTTTCTTGAATTGCCCCTAATGCCCAAATTTCCACCCGTATCAGCCGACTTCCCAAACCTTAGGCCCTAGCAGTCCCACACCTGGCAGCCTCATACTGTTTGACAGTCATGAGTGTGTCTTCCATGGTCTTGGTGACCAATGTGTTGATGCTAGAAACAAAGAAGTTCACAGCCCCTAGCAGCGTCTCCCCGTTCTTGCACAGAAGCTTCTGCGTCTCTGCATTGTAGCCAAATTCTTCCTGAGGGCAGAAGGGAAGGACAGGCCTTGAATAAGACTCCCTCCATTCTCCTCCTTCCTGGAGAGAAAACTGACATCAAAACTAAAGCAACCAAGGATTGACTCTAAGCAAAGCTCTCTTAGCCAGGAAGCTAGTTTGGCCTCCCTGGGGATCCTAGGGTAGGAATGTCGGGCATGGGCGTTCTCAGATAAGTTCAACAGACTGAAATAGAGAGCTAGCGTAGCTGGCAGGGGAGGGGCTCTGATTAGCCCTAGTACCAGAAGTATTCTCAACAATGCAGAGAAGGGTTATTGTTAAGACACCTAGTGTGCTCCCTCCCCCACCCCCACTCCCTCCAACTTCTAGACCTCTGTACAAACCCTTAGATTGCCTTCACATGTATGTGCGTGCTGCCAGGGGCAGACTGGGCCCACCCTCCAGGGGTTTCTCCCTGTGGGCTGCAGGAGGGAGGGAAGGAAGGAGGGAGGGAGTCTGAGGAGTGACTGCTTCGAAGGGCCCGGGCCCAGTCCCCCACCACTTTGCTCTGGCCAAGGCACCTGAAGCTCTGGGGACTTCTGGCTGAGATCAGCAAAGGCGTCACCTAGTGCATGCTGGGTCTGCAGCAGGCTGTAGAGATGGGCTGTCAGTGCCCGGCCCAGCTGCAGGACACTTTCATACTTGCGCTTCGTCTCACGGAGCAACTCAATCTGCAGCTCTAGCTCCAGGTCCACAGTCCGAGAGCCTCGGCCAAATCGCTCTGATAATAGTTGTTTTGTGCACTGATTGGGAGGTGGAGGAATAGGTCAGAGATCCTAGACCCTGTCCCCCGACCAGTAAGTACCTACTCCAGCACCCCAGTCTCCTAGTCTCAGCCATAGATGAGCTATGAGGATCTGGAGAAAAGGCAAAAAGTTACCCAGGGGGAATTTTGAGAAAGGGAGAGGTGCTTAAATCCCACCTTATATGTGTTGATGCCCCATTTCTTGACGATGTCAAACTTCTCTCCAGCGATGCCCCGGGCTACCTCATCTCCAGGGCCAGCAGGAGTGGTGCTGTGAGATGGATGGCGGCCAGATCCTAAAGGACCAAGTTCTTGACACCAGCCTCTCTCATATACAACCAGACACCTCTGCGGCCCCACCCCTATTTCCTACCTAGCACCTGAGCACATGAAATGATTTCCCCGGGGAAAAGGCAGAAAGAGTTAAGACTGTCCTACTAACTACCCTAGGAGAAATTAGGATCTTGTGCTCTGAAACCAAATCCCAATAAATATTTAGCCTTCTTGTGGTGGGGAGTGGGGGGTTGCTGGTAAACAGATTCAGAGGAAACAAAAAAGTATGCTAAGTTTCAGGGGAGATGGTGGGTGCTGATAATAGTAAACCCGATTGATGTTCCCCTAGAAAACCCTAGTCTAGGAGATTCAGGGTTGTTTGTTTCTCTAAAACAATGGTGGGAAGCCTCACAAAGTTCCAAATCAGTCTCAAGCTCCAATGGGACAACTCCTGTGGAACTAGTGGTACTGTATTAACTGGGCCCAGGTGGTGGAAGCAGAAAAAAGAAAAATGGCCATCTCAGGGATTAAGGAAAGAAAGAAGCAGAAGGATAACCCTGGGTGCTGGCCATGGGTTGGGCCATGGAGACAGTCCATGGGGTTCATACTAGTAGAAGTTCTCAAAATCTCTAGACATGATTAAGTTGTTCCTAGATGTATCCTATGCTCCTCCAAACCATCCCAGTCCCCTTCTCCCCTCAAACCTTCTGTGTGTGATCATTCACACCTGTGGGGATGAGTCCATCACCGGAGCCCCCATAGCCACCAGATACAATGCTGGTTTCATTGAGGTTGGGTCCTGATACCATCACCTGTTGGAGGTCCTAGAGGCCAGAGAGAGGGGGAAGCGGGTACTTCAGGAACATAAGGGCAACTGAAACATTTTGAGGGTGGGAACAAGCTTAGATTGGGGAGAGAGAGACAGGGAGAGAGGAGGGGAGCACAAACAGTGGTTACCACAGAAGCAAGTGAAATTTTTGCAAAACGAATGTAGGGAATTGGATAGCTTAGTGGATGACTTCGGGAATGGGATTGGGGCGGGGCATCAAAAAGAAGCACCTGCTCCAGCCCGTCATCTTCAGGAAGCTGCCCAGCTTCACCATTCCCATGGATAGGGATCTCCATTGTGGCTGCCTTCCCTAGGATCCCGTCCGTCATGGCTAGGGAAGGGGCAGTCTCCACCCCAGCACCCTGCAAAGCACAAAACAGTTCTGGAAACTGGCCAGCACTCCAGAAGAGGGAGGCCTCCCCTGCTGTTTCTAAGGCTTCAGAGGTTGTCCCGGGACTTGAGTGTCCCTGGGGCTCAGCCACCACTTCTTTCCTCAGATATATGTATTTCTCCCCTCCAGAGTGTGTATTTCTACACTTGCACATCTAAGCCTCAGGTGTCTTGCCACCTCCAACCCCAGCTTTAGCAATCATTCATGCATTCACGCATTCAACTAATATTAGTGAGTGCCTACCGTGTCAGGCACTAAGGCAATGGGACTAGAGCAATGAACAAGGGATAAAATCTGTGCTGTCTTGGAACTTATCCCAAAGCAGGTGTGTTTACTCGCACCAGGAGACCAGCCCCTTTCTGAGGCTCATATGCTCACCCAGCATTCAAGTATGTTCTCCAGTGCTTGGCCTTCCACATTCCTTGGTGTCCCTACCTCCGTTCCTCGGGCGGTCTCCCCCTCCTTCATCTCAAGCACCTCCTCTTTCCAGAGCCCTCCCCAGTAGGCCTTAGTTGAATCAATTGGTGTATGTTCCCGGTGTCTGATAAAAGCCTCTTTCCCAGAATCTGGGCTTTTCCTTCCAAAGTCGGTTACGTCTTCCAGGTGTGTAAGTCCCTGCTCCCTCCCCGCCCCCATACACCTGGGCATCAGGTGTGTCCTCATCCTTACCCAAGGCTCAGGGGCATTTAGCCCTAGGGACAGTTTCGTGAGTTCAACTTCCGCTTACCCAAGTAAGTCCCTCTTACCTGGGCCGGGCCGTTCTTCCCCTCAGGGCGCCAGGCCCGGACCGCACGGGGACCTCGGGCTCCAGTTCCCGTCGCGATCCTACCAGCAGGTCAGGGACTTGGCGGAAGTGACGTCCTCTCCGGGCAGAAGAAGTCGGCCACGTCGCAGATTCTAAGGGCGGAAGTGACATACAGAATTGGGCAGGGAAATTTTGGAACCAAGCTGTCAATCCTTAGAAAGCGGAGAGATTATTTCCGGGGCGGTATGGATAAACTGTAACGGAAGTGACGTGTCGCGCCTGGCTGCGTTATGGAGCAGCAGCAGCAGCAATTGAGAAACGTAAGTGAGAGTTGAGTCGTTTCAAGGCCAAACATTTCTACAGCGAAAACCCCAAAAGGCCAGCGATTCTAGAGCTGGGGACATGGGCTGTGGTGCGCGGTACTGGGAAACGTCGGCGGCGTGGCCTTGAAGGGTGGAGTGAATCTTATAGCTGAGTTCTTGATCCCCTTCTCTCCCAGTTGCGAGACTTCCTGTTGGTGTACAATCGGATGACAGAACTCTGTTTCCAGCGCTGTGTGCCCAGCCTGCACCACCGAGCTCTGGACGCTGAGGAGGTGGGGGTCTGTGTAGTGAGGTCGTCCTCGATTCCAAGAACTAACGATGGAGTGTTGCCTCATCCCCTCAGTTCCACCACCTCTGACCCTGGCTTTTCCGTGACCACAATCCTAGATTGGGAATGGGGAAGGAAGGAGCGGGATTGAAAGGACACTTTTGAACTCTACTTCCACCTTGTTTTCTTTTCAGGAGGCCTGCCTGCACAGTTGTGCTGGAAAGCTGATACATTCCAACCACCGCCTCATGGCCGCTTACGTGCAGCTCATGCCTGCCCTGGTACAGCGCCGCATCGCAGACTATGAGGCCGCCTCAGCTGTGCCAGGTGTTACTGCAGAACAGCCCACAGTCTCACCACCAGGCAGCTAGCCAACCCTAACCCCAGGAGGGAAGGTACTGGAAGGACCCAGTGGATCTTGGGCTTGGTGAAGCCTGGACAGAGAGATTGAGGGATTGCCAGAAAGCTGGGTACTGTTGCTCCTTTTCTGGAAGCAATAAACCCAGTTTTTGCTGTTTGGTTTATATTATGAGTTGGGAACCTTTTTGATGGTTTTATTAGCACCATCCTTTGTTATGTCATTTAGTTCGTATTTGCTGGCTTCACTCCAGCAGCTGAGCAATTGCCTTTTGCATCTAGAAGGATAGCCTCAGTTTTCCAGGCACGTGATTAGAGCAGGGACTGTGGGTACAATTTACAAGTTGGTAGTACAAACATGAAGCTAGTTGCTGTTCAGATGACCGATAAAATAATGAGAGATCTCTCTGGCTTTCTTTGAGTTTTTCTGTCTTAAATGGCCAAGTATGCATTGGCATAAAACTATTTTTTCCTGGACTGTGTCTTAGAAAAAGAGTTCTATTGGATATAGGGCAAGAAGGTGATGTCAACAACAGAAGGGGGGAAAAAACCAAACCTCAAAGAAACCTTTGGTTTTTTTAGGCATTGCTTCTTAGGAAGTCAGTGGTCACAGAACACATATAAAACCTCTAAGAACTGGAGGTGTTCTATATTTGCAGCCATTTCCCCAAGTTAGTTTCTTAGTCTTCCTGGGATCAACATTAAAATGCTTATTTAAATAAGGAAGAAGCAGTTCTTCAGGGGCAATCAAGAATGCGGAAACTACAGTACTGTCAAATCTGGGCAAGATAAATCTAAGGGAAAAGTAGGTAGTGGTGTTTATTAAAAAAATAAAATTAAAAATCTGTGGCTCCTTTTTAACGCTACCTTAATGCATCACTGACTACTATCTAAAATCCTGTAATTCCAGCTTTCCACCCTGTCCCTGACATTATTCTCACTATACTCCAGTGACTTATAATTCTAGCCTCTATGTTCTTGTTTGTTTGCTTGCTTGTTTGTTTGTTTGGGTTTTTTTTTCTTTTTATTGAGTTTATTGGTACATTCTAGGTACACAGTACAGTTACATTCATTTCTTGGATCTTGTACCTTTACATGACAGGTCTTGGTTCTCATTTTTTCCCCTTGTCCCTGCCCTCCCTTCACCCCTCCTCCCCTCACCATTTACAAACACTTTATTTCCATGTTTTCATTTTTGCATATTTTTTTCTTTTTGCTTGCTCGTTTTTTGAGGTAAGGTCTCCCTGTGTAGTTCAGGCTGGACTTGAACTTACTATGTAGTCTAGGCTGGCCTCAAACTCATAGCAATCCTCCTGCCTCAGCCTAAGTGCTGGGATTACAGTAATATGCCACCATGCCCAGCTGCAGCTTCTGTATTCTTTCCTCATTATTGCCTTCCCTTTTGTGGGGATTACTTCTGTACTCAGCAGCCTGAATGATCTATCACCCCAGTTGATTTTCTTCGCATTAGCCTCCTTTTTGTATCACTGTTTTATCTTTTCTCCATCTAAGCTACTAAAGAAAAACAGTTATATAATGAATGCCATGGGATATTTAAAATCTCCAGCTTGAGCCAAGCCCTCACTACCAGCAAGCTACCCTTTTGTGGGCCTTCGGTCTATTCTGTCATCACCATGACACATGGAGCCACCTACTCTCTTAGTTGTATCTTGGTTATTGCCATCACCCCCAAACTACTCCCATCTTCAAAACACTGTCACATCATATTCATTGGTCATATTTCTATTCATTTTTTCTTTGTTGAACTGTTGCCTTTATTACTTATTGATTTCACTGTAGCATTCAAGCTATCTCTTTTCAACTTTTTTTTCAGACAATTTAAACTGGTGGTTTTCTTTCAACAAGGTGAATTCTCTTGCTTTTCATTTTTTTGGATCCTAAAAATTAAATATGTATGCCTGTATTTGAACAGCTAAATAGAAACCAATATTGAACAAATATATATCACTATGAATCCATAGTTATCAACTTCAAATGGAGTCTCAGCTCCTATAAGCCCACTGGCTTTTTCTGCTGTTTGATACTCCCTGTAAAGACCATTTCAAACTATAACATCCTAGCATTCTTTCTGTGGGTAACCCTATTTATAGATGAAAGCAGAAGCTGTGTATCCTACTACTTATTAATCCACATACATCTGCATCATTCTCACCTCTTTCCCTCCTTCCTGTCGAAACAATGAATCCTCTAATGCCAGTGCCTATTCTTATGCTCTGAGTCTTAGTCTTTTCCTGTTTGAGGATGCCTCACTTCCTCCTACTTTACTAAATGTCGGGCTTAGACATGTTAACAACTCCCTTGTAACAACAAACCATTGTACTTTATTTCCCCTCCAGTCACCCATCTTTTCTGTAATCCAGCTAAGCCTTTCAAAAACAGATACTTTGGCTCCCATTTTTCAAGCCACTCTCCTTTTTCCATTCACCCCAGTCCATTTTGAATTATATAGCCTTTATTGTCTTAAAATAGTTTTTACCATGGTCAGCTTAGTTGTGACCTTATATCCCTGAACCCCTAGCGGTTATTTCTTAGTCCTTGGCTTACTTCTGAGTGGCATTTGGTGCTATTTTCTAGTTCCTCATCATTGAGGCCATTGGTGGCCTTGATTCCGCTCGTGGTTTTATTGTCTCTTACTACAGCTTCTTAACCTTCTTAGAAGGCTTACCCTTTCCCTAGTTTTCAAACCTAAAAGTTTCTCTAGGTCCTGTTTTTTCTCACTCTAACTTTTCTAGGATGGTTTTATACCCTCTTAAGTTTTAATTACTAATGACTCAGATTTACCTTTATACGGATAAGTTAATATCTAAAAGGCCCCATCTTCAGCAATTCATTTTATAGCATTATAGTTTTCACTTTGTATTGTGGTACCGGGGATTGAACCCAGGAGCTTCATATTATAGACAGCTAGGTTAGGTAGAAATATAGGCAGGCAGGCAGGGCAAGGCCGTTGAGGGAGTCAGTGCATGAGAACAAATTACAACTGGCTAGAGGCACATCTGTCAAAACCCAGGCCTCAGAATAAAGACAGAATGACCAGGCCTACTTCCCCAAGGGATAAGCAATAAATGGAATATTGTACTATAATTGGTATCACCTAGTCCAATAAAGTATAGACATCAGTCACTCAGGTGGATGACCAGGACTTCCCGATCCATCCCTTCCTTAAAAGGTCTTTGTTCTTGCTGTGTACACTTGCTGTGTGACCTGCTTCCCCATTGGATCAGTATTATTATTTAAGTGGCTATACTTGTAATCTTACTGGTTGATCATAGTTTTGACCCACATTGTATCCACTTTGTGATTTTGCTCTATGAAACTTAGAGAAGTGGGCTCATGGACAACCCCGTTTCAAGTACCCACCTATCAGGAGCTATCTCAATAAGTTTCCTACTCAACCTCCATTGTTCCTGAGAATTCATCTTTGATTTTGGGAAACACAAACTCAGCATATCTGACATCTGTCAAGTTAGGAGTTATATTATTTCCCCTATATCAGTATGGAGTTAAATTCCCAGTTTGTTTGTTTTGAGACAAGGTTTCACTAAGACACTAAATTGCCCAGTCTGGGCTCCAACTTTGTCCTGCCTCAATCTCCAAGAATGCTGGGATTACAGTTGTATGTATGGCTACCATACCTGACTTCACTGTTTCTAAATCCTGTGCTTAAATATTGAATCCTTTCTCTCCATCTCTATTATCACTGACTTAATTAAACTTTTATCAGTTTTGTTTTTAAGATAGCATCTGTGTTGTTCAGCCTGGCCTTGAATTCACTGGATAGCCCAGTCTGGCCTCAAACTTGTAGCAGTTCTGCTTCAGCCTCCCAAATCCTATAATTACAAGCATGTGCCACCATTCCTGCTTCTTACCAGTTCTTTCACAGGCTACAGCAGTCTCCTAACACTTTTTATCTTGAACCTGGACTCTTGTTAGTTGGGATTTAGTTCAGTTACATGTAACAAAGACACAAATATTAGACACAAACTTTTTCTCTTTCAAGTAAAATTCTAAAGCTGGTGCAGTGACTTCACAGTCATCTGAGAACCAGGGTTCTTAGCAGCTTTTTGATGGTTGTAGATGGAGTATGGTTCTCATCCTTTGACCAAGGGTGGCGTTTTCTTCATCAAATAAACAGTCCGAAGAACAAAATGGGCTAGGGATTTGTGGGAAAGGGATGTGCACTTCTCCCTTTAAAGACATGCTGGAAGTTGCACATCACAAATTTGTCATATGGCTAGACTGTTACAGGAGAGACTGGGAAATACAATCTGTACTCATCAGCCCCTTGCCCAGCTAAAGATTGGGAGTCTGTTTCTAAGGAAGAGGAGGACAACAGCTATTGAGAGATACCTACCAATTCATTTTCTATGCTCACCAAAAATGGTTCTTATAAAATAGTAATCATGAAGCTCATCTACTTAATGGCTTCTGTGATAGTCAGACTCCTTAGTATCACAACTGAGCCTTTTTCTAATCAGGTCCCCAGTGCCCTCTCTGGACTTATCTTTAACCTTTTCTCAAGGTTTTCCTCCCTCATATCCCTGAGGAACTGATTTTTAAGCTGAGATCCAAAGGAAAATTTAGAATTGTTTGAACAAAAGACAGAAGGATGGACTGCCTTCCTTTCTTAATGTTTTTGTTTAGATGACACTTTGTTTTTTTCAGTGATGTGGGTTGAACCCAGGGAACACCGAGGTACATCCTCACATCCTTAGCCTTGTTTGTTTTTTAATTTTGGACAAGGTTTTATTAAGTTGCCCAGGCTGGCCTTGAATTTGAAATCCTCCTGTTTCAGCTTTCCAGAGTGCTGGGATTACAGGCATTTGCCAACATGCCTAGCTGAAAATTATTTTTAAATAGTTTATGTGACCCTTGGTTTTGTGTGTAAACTTGGCTAAATTAGATATAGTACCATTATGTACTATTAATTATTTAATAACTAATCTAGGTGTTATTGTGAAAGTATTCTATAGATGTGGCTAATGCTTATAATTAGTTGACTTTAAAGAAAGATTAGCCTTGATAGTGTAGGTAAGCTTCATCTAACCAGTTGAGACCTTAAAAGCAAAACATTTCCTAGAAAAGAAGATAATCTCAAGACACTAACATTAATTTAGTGTCCCTTAATGATAAAAGCCATGACTAAATTAGGAATAGAAAGATTATACTTCAACGTAATGCAGGCTATATATGACAAATTTAGTCAACAACATACTAAATTGAGGGAAAACTGAAAATATTTCCTCTTAAGATCAGAAGCAAAATCCAGGCATGATGATGCACACCTGTAATCCCAACACTTGGGAGGCTGAGGCAGGAGGATTGCTGTGAGTTAGAGACCAGCCTGGGCTACATAGTGAGTTCCAGGTCAGTTTCAACTACATAGTGAGACCCTGTCTCAAAAAAACAACAACAAAAAAAAGATCAGAAGCAGGAGTGTCCACTCAGCACTCTTATGGTACTGGGTACTAGAAATTCTAGCTAGAGCAATCAAGCAAAAGAAAGTAATAAGAGGCCTACAAATAGAAACAAAAGAAAGCAAACTATTCCTGCGTGCAGATAATATTCTATGCATAAAAAATTGTAAGTCATTCCACCAAAAGATATTTAAAGCTAATACAATAAAGTAGCAGGATAAAAAAAATCAACATATAAAACTTTAGCTTCTCTATAAACCAATAGTGAATTCACTGAAAAAAAAATTAGGAAAACCGTCTCACCTACAATAGCTGCCCCCCCAAAAAAATGTTTTTAAGAGGGTAACCAAAGAATAAACCTACTTAAGTAGGCAAAAGACCTAAAAGAAAAAGTGCAAAACACTGAGGAAAGAAATTAAGATACTAAAATAATGCGGTGACACATCTGTGATCCCAGCACTCTGGGAGGCTGAGACAGGGAGATTGCAAGATGGATCCCAGTCTGGGTAATTTAGTAGCTTAGAGAGTAAGAGATCCTGTCTAAAAATTTTAAAAGTTGTGGAGATGTACTCAATCCACAGTTGCTGGGTTCAATCTACAAA